TGTCTTAACTATCAACGTGCCAACCAATACTGAGTGCATTTAAAATAACACAAGACTTACAAGGAATTTGTTGAGCTGTCCAAATTTTTAACTGGTAGTTAAATGAGGAGCTCTAAGCCCCCTCACTGAAGGTCTCCACTGACCCAATTCCTTTGTACTTAATATGAGAGGAAAAAATAACTGAGTTAAAGAAGTCATTTTTAGAACAGAAAAGAAATAAGAAGAAAGACTGTCCCTTGAATTCTTTTGTGAAACATCTGCAGAGCACTTAAAATATGTTATAGACCATACTTAAATATTTCAGCTGCACTGGAAAGGTTCATAAGTCAATGCAGATAGTTCTGCAATTAAAATATGCAACTGAAGGGAAAGGGTATCCTTCTTCACCTATTGAAATTTAAAGTTACTTAATTTTTGATTATACTGTATAATGTTACCTTGGACTCCCACAAAGACCTGCCCTACTTTAGAAATACTGTATTGTACTAAAAGTCTTTTATTCCTAGCTCCCAAATTTTAAATAATGCATAAGGATTGCCTGAAATGGTAAAATGGAAAATGAATCATCCCTTTTTAATAGTTCACATGAATAATTATTAGATCAATAGTTCACAGTACACAACCTGCAATTAAATGTGTTCAATAATTCAATAAAATAGCCTTCTCTTATATTTTAAAGCCATTAAATTTAAATTTAGTAGGCTCTATGTCTAATCCAATCCCAATTTGCAATTGTGAACAATATGTCTATACTTCCATACCCGCACAAATTTTCTAATTTTTATCTTAAAATGTTTTCCTTGTTTGGCAAAACATTTAACCCATAGTGGTGCCATTATTCTATTACATATATTTCAGTCCTATTCAGAGAAAAATGGCTTAGCTCAAGTATATCCATTTATTGTTTAAGGTTAGAGACATTTCTTAGAAGGATGGTCAGTGTAGCCGAGACCTAAGATTGTTCGGCAGCAGAACAAACAATTTTAAATTAGTTGATAACTAACTCCTTTTAATACATATCTAGCACTTATCAAATTTTATAGCACATATATAAAATGAACATTCTATATCATTTTCCTTGATAAGCTCAACATGAAAGGTGAGTTCAAAACTACATTCTCAGGGAACAGCTACCTGACATATGGTAGTGGACAGTGGAGTTTCAACATTGTGTCTCATAGAGAATTTCAGCTGACCTAAGCTTTTGACTCAATAGCTACATTTCCCCCCTGTCTTCTGAATTTGACCTGTCTGTCACTTTTTATGGCATTAAACTTTCAATACTGGATCACAAAGACATAAGACTCTGAATGCTTTTTATTCAAACCAAAATTTGAATCAGTTTGGAAAACACTAGTACCCCTTAAGCTTTGTCTTAGTGTTAGTGCAAAACAGCGACCCCATGGCCTAGTTCAAAATGCTAGCTCTTGTCTTGAAAAATGTCTTTTCATGCTGGTATAGTTTTGAAAATTTGACATAAATTAGTCACCTGGGAAGAGAGAACCTCTTTGAAGGTATTTCCTCCATCAGATCAGCCTGTGGGCAGGTTTATGAGTTTTCCTGATTTATGATTGATGTGGGAGGACTCTATCCACTCTGGTAGGTCCAATCCTAGACATAGAGTATTGAGTTGTATATGAAGAAAAGATGGACACACAATGGGGATCAAGTCAATAAGCAATGTTCCCTGATGGCCTCTGCTTCAGCAAGGGCCTTGAGGTTCTTGCCTTGAATTACTGCCCTCACTGAGGGAGTTTATCTGTGAGTTGGATCATAAAATTAACTGTGTCCTCTCCAAGTTGTCTTATCGTGTGATATTGCTCTCAACAACAGAACCCTAACTAGGACAGCCAGTCAGACTTGTACTGGATTTCCAGTCTTATCTCATCTCTTTTGTTTTTATGTCAAGTACAATATTAAAATTTTCTGATTTTCAGATCTCTAATTTGTACTACCAGGATGTTAGTATATGAGGGTAATATGAATATATAATAAAGTTATAATAGTCATTGTGCAAGCTTTACAACTCCCAGTGCATATTTGTTATTAACATTGAAGCTATTGATAAGCTGATGCGGACTCTGTCCACAGATGTGGGGTGCCTAGCCATATTCAATCATGGCACTCCTCTGAAAGTCCTTGGGATCTAATCCTCTTGACATGCTTCACATGGTACCTCATGAACCAAGCTCAGGACTCCTCATGCCTACACTGTTTTCTCTCTGTTATAAACCAAGGGTCATAATTGTTTGATGGTTCATCATGAACACTATCATTATGCATTTAATTTTTACCCTTTATCTTTGCCACTTCCTAGATTGGCCTGTGTTTCCAGCATAGCCTCTTTATTCAGGCCTCTCTACCAAGACTCTTGAAACAGAGGAATTTGATATTGTGTCTGTAAAAAAAACCGTGATTAGTTTTTGGGTTTTGTGTGCTTGCTCAGCTGCAAATCTCAGCAAACTCAAAACTGATTGTTAACTGACATTTCTATGGTTGAATTCAGATTGAAATTTGGGCTAAGGTTCAAACCAGGAGGACAACAAACATTGTAAGTGTGTTATGAAGAAAATTTGAAATAAAGGAAATATTTGCATGAAATTCTTTTCTAAGGTCTGGAAGGAGAGAAATAAGAAAAATACAAAAATGTTCAATTGACTCTCAGGGAATTTGGAAGAACTAGAATTGTTCCTAGTGGCAGAGACATACATCACCTTGATTTCTGATCAAGTATCTGTTTCGTATTGTGTTCTTAATGTGTTCTTTCTGCATTCTCTGTAACTGCAATTTTTTGTTTTTATGAAGCATCAATGATATTTAGCTTCATCCCCGTTGTTATTGTCTGAATATGCAGTAACCTAAGAACAACGAGCATATGTGCTTGTAAAATTAAAATTGTTGAAATGAATGAGCAAATGAGTGAATGAATGAATGAATGAATGAATGACAAGCCTTACATTTTAGTCATTCTCTTTGTCTCATCTTTTGGTTACTTTGATAAGATTTCAAGATGGAGGAACTGCCTACTGTATTTGAGAGAAAGGTGGCTATCTTCTCTCCACACTGAATCCCACCCTGCATCTTAGGTCTTCACACACTTCTCTGAGGGACAGAAAAAGCCACAGAAATATTAACAAGGTACTGGTAGTGGATTGCAACAAAAATAAGCAAGTTTGCCCCTAGTTTGGCTTTTATTTCTTATTATTAGAAAAAATTCAAAGATGCATTTACTTTTCTGAATTGTTTTTCTGGTTATTGGATATAGAGACCAGAGATGGTTCTTCATACATGGCATCACTTGAAGAATTGGTTGAAATAGTATACATTTTGTCTTTCACTCACTCACTCATTCAACCATTCTTTCAAAATGTACCTAACATTTACTCCAGGATCAATGGGAACAGTGAATGCATGGATGATTAGTACATCATCCTTGAACTTGGAGCAGTCACTGTTGCACAGGCAGATTTTTTTATTGATTTTTATTGAGCTGTACATGTTTCTCTGCCCCACTCCCTGTTACAGTCTGATTTTATGAATGTGCATAGAGAGACAGTCCCGTATCATCACAGAGATGGAATACGAAGACTACATTCAATCTCAACCCACTATTCAATGTAGATGGTGCAGGGGTTATTATGGGAGTCAACAATTCTTTTCAGGTATGGATAGATTTCATCAGGATACCAAGTTTGTCAAGTGAAGAACGGGAAGGTAAAACATATTCTTACAAAATTTTACATTGGTAAATGTTTTCTTTTTTTTAAAAAAAACCTTTGTGTTGTATATGGAAAAAATAGAATATTCCTCAAAAGGTAAATAATGTATGAATTCTATGTTTGATAATGCATATCAATTTGGTAAGGGGTATGTGAGAGAGGGCATGTATGTGCAAGACTGACCTGTGTGTCTGTGCACAGGACAGTGAGTAGATTCTTTTCTTTTGTCTTTCATTTTAATTTTTATGCCACCATTAACAGGTGTGTGAACTTTTCTGTTAACTTTGTTTTCACACTTCCATGTATTAAGTGATAATATAGAACATACAGTGTAGAGTTGTGAAGGTTTATATAAATTTACACACAGAAAGTGCTTTTATCAGGGTCTCACTATTGACTATTGAACAAGTTGTGGACACAAATGACAGCAGTGTCTACTAGCCTGTCAGTGCTTTATTACTAGTATTGACAGAGTTCACTTGTCTGTGTAAACATTCTGCTCAGTGGGAGGCCTTAGATACCATAAACATCAACAATAACAACCTGAATCCACCGCATTCTCAGTTACAATGCCTTGCTCACTAACTTGGCATTACCCAGGACAGGCATTAATCTGACTTACTCCTGCCTGGTGCAGCCTAAGACCAGCTGTGCTTTGTGGCTTTCACATGTCCACACGACTAACTCTGTGTGAATCCCACAGTGAGTTTCATCTCTGTATTCTCCCATTTGACTATTTAATGAAATAACTAAGTTTTTTTTTCTGCTCTACTTAACAAGTCAGTTCACGTAACCTTATATGGGTCAGGAAGCTAAAAGAGTATACTTTTGTTCTTTCTCTTTATACAGAGTGAACACGGTACCGGAGAGAGTCTATTAGTGGAAGGAGTGAAAGGATGGGCTAAAGTCAGAGCACAAACCTATTGAGTCCCAGAGCACTGAGAATCCATATCCTTATCCCATGCCTGAATATCAAGGTTGGGAGTCATGATTAAAGATACAAAACACTAAAATTATGTCAAGTTTATGTAAATGTGACTTGTAAGACATGGATAGTAATATTATATTATAAAAATTAGTTAATTTTAAATGTGCTTTCTTTCTTTATTTTATTCCCATTCAAAAATTTACACGTCCTCTCCCACTCCTCCACTCACCCTCCTCTCTCCCCTTCTCTCCTTCAGAGAGGGCAGGGAACCCTGCCTTGTGAGAAGTCCAAGGCCCTCCAGTCTACATCCAGGCCTAGGAAGCTTTGCATCCAAATAGACTAGGGTCCTAAAAATCCAGTACATTCTGTAGAAACAAATTCCAGTGCCTTTATCAATGGCTTCTCAGTCAGCCCCCATCTTCAGCCACATTCAGAGAGTCCAGTTTGATTGCATACTCATTCAGTCCCGATCCAGCTGGATTTGGTGAGCTCCCATTAGTACAGGCACAGTGATGTCAATCTGTAAAAGAATGAAAATAGATCCATATCTATCACTGTGTACAAAACTCAAGTCCAAATGGATTAAAGACCTCAATATAAATCCAACCACACTGAACCTGATGGAAGAAAAAGTGGGAAGTAGACTGCAACACATGAGCACAGGAGACCACCTCCTACGTATAAACCCAGTAGCACAGACAACAAGATCAACAGTGAATAAATGGGACCTCCTGAAACTGAGAAGCTTCTGTAAAGCAAAGGACACTGTCATTAAGACAAAAAGGCATCCTACTGAATGGGAGAAGATCTTCACCAACCCCGCATCAGACAAAGGTCTGATCTCCAAAATATATAAAGAACAAAAGAAATTGAACATGAAAATTCTAATTAACCCAATTAACAATGGGGTGCTGAACTGAAAAGAGAATTCTCATCAGATGAAGTTCAAATGGCCAAAAGACACTTAAGGTCATGTTCAACCTCCTTATCGATCAGGGAAATGCAAATCAAAACATCTTTGAGATAAAAATTAGGGGTTTTTTTTTGTTTCCTAGTTCTTTGCTAATTGCCACTGTGCCATCTCTAACATGTGGGCCTTTTGTTGTTGTTGTTGTTGTGTAGATGGATTCCTATCTGTCTGCCTTCTACCAGTTTCAAATAATCTGAGATGCTTTCAATTCAGCATGATTACATCAAATGGCACTACTTTCTTTTGTCCACTGTTTTTTTTCCAATTTCCTGTAGGTGGAGACTGCTTGTTCCTTAACAGCTGCCTAGATGCAAATAATCAGACAGAAACTATATTAATTGCAACACTATTTGAACAATACCTTAGGTGGATTCCTAGCTAATTCTTATATCTTAAAGTAACCCATTTTTATTATTTTATATTTCACCACAAGACTTGTGGTTTGTTACCTCTAGCTTCTTGGGCAGCTACATGGTGTCTGTCTCCTTCAACAGCTACATGGCGTCTCTCTGACTCTACCTATTTTTTCTCTATATCTCTTCCAGCCTGGTTATATTCTGTTAAGCAATTGGTCAAACTGCTTTCTTATTAACTAATGATAATAAAACGTATTTATAACATACAAAGGGGAATTCCATATCATCTCCCCTTTTCTGTCTAAATGAAAAGGAAGGTTCTAACTTTAACAAAATAACATTACATATAACAAAACAGGTATCAATCATTATTAGTCTATTTGTATCTAGCAAAAGAAATATTCTATCGTTTGTTATAAATAAGGGAAACTATAGCTATAACTATTTGTCTTCAACTCTTCAAAGGCCTCAGAAGGATATAATATTTCCTAAATAAATAAGAAGTTCATTGCAAGCAACATATGAAGTTTTAGAATTGACAGAGACATTTTGTTGCCTGGAAAGTCAACCAACGTTCTGTAATTCTTCAGCCTACAACCCATAGTGTCTGGCAGACTTTTCAATCAAGCAGGAAATTTGAAGATCTGTTCTGCTTTGTAATAACAAAGTTCATCTGTGTCTTTTTTCTGTGTCCTGCTAGAATATCTGGCAGTTTCTTTCATAAAGCAGGAACCCTGAAGGACCATTCCACCTTTTAGAAAGTTCAGCAGTCACTTTTCTGTGGGTCCTGTATATTCAGTTCATACAGCATATATCAAATAGTCCAGGCAAGAACAGTTTTTTTGCCCAAATGACAAGTAAACTCCATAGCAAACCTCTCGATTCCCATTATTATCTTGAAGTAGATTGGTGCTGCCAGAAGCATGTGTGTCTTATTGTGATGAAAAATTCTAAGTTAAAAACTATTTTAAATACTGTATTTTATAGGCCTTTGAAAGGTCTGAAGAATATCTATCCATCTGAAATGTATTTCTGTATATCTAGGAAACCTAACTAACATTATTACATGACTGAATATTATAAATGACTATCTATTAATCCATAATTTTAATTATACATTACATTTTAAAATGAGCTTCACGAACACATAATATCTTAAGCAAGAGTAGAAATATACATATAACAAAATAGACCTTAAATTTGTATCAATAAACCAAAGTACATATTAATGCAAAGTATTCATCTCTATATCATATCCCCCTTTAAAAAAAAGCAAACATTTATAAAGAATAATTTTGGGAATTGGGAGTAGTTTTTCCCAAACTGCTTCCTGCTGTTTGGTGGGTGAAGCATTTTTAGGTTCACAGAGACCTTTCAGGTGGTATTTTTATTTTCTAACCTATACTAAAAAGTATTAAAATATTTTATGTTCACATTTGATACCAGTACTACCAGAAACATGACTGCAGGTACTGTATTAATTATTTAACTGGGTTGTTTGCTAGACATTTTTTTTTATTTTTTCTTTTGTTAAAAGAGTTTTTAATTTTTTTTTATTAAATTATAAAAGTTTCCATTTCAGCCCCTCCTCCCAACACCCTCCAACTCCCCCCATACCCTCTCCTCCTCCCTCTCCATCCCTTAGAGCAGTCAGGGTTTCCTGCCCTGTGGGAAGTTCAAGTTCCTCCCCCCTCCCTCCAGGTCCAGGGAAGGTGAGAATCCAAACAGACTGGATCGCCAAAATCCAGTATATGCAGAGGAAGCAAGTCCCAGTGTCATTGTCAATGTTTTTTCAGAAAGGCTCCGGGCCAGCCACATTCAGAGAATCTGGTTGGATCACGTCCTCGTTCAGTCCCAGTCCAACTGGCCTTGGTGAACTCTCATTATATCAGTCCCCTTGTATCAGTGGGTGCTCGTATCCCTCGCAGTCCTGATTTCTTTTTTCATTTTCTTCATCCTTCTGCTCCTCATTTGGACCGTGCAGTGCTCAGTCCGGTGCGCCAATATGGGTCTCTGTCTGTATCGCCATCCAACGTCGGATGAAGGTTTCCTCTGCCCTTGCCTTCTTTGTTCACGTTCTCTTTCCTTCTGCCTCTCATTTGGACCTAGGGAGCTAGGTCCAGTGTTCCAACGTGGGTCTCCGCCTCCATCTCCTGGGATCCCATTTATAATCAAGTCTCTTGTAAACCCTAAAATGACTCCCTTAGTTGAGGTATATACTTGCCTGATCCCATATCCATCCTTCCTCCCTCCCCCCATCC